GATAGATAGATAGATAGATAGATAGATAGATAGATAGATAGATAGATAGATAGATAGATAGATAGATAGATAGATAGATAGATAGATAGATAGATAGATAGATAGATAGATAAACATGTCCTCTGCTCAGGTCTTAATAAGTGAGAAAGAGTCCACTGGTTTGGATGATGTTGTAACCATGGCAACAAGGTAAACAGAGTTTTATTTTATTTATTTATTTTAGCAGAAAAAAGACAGTGAATGTATTTTTAATTACTTCTGAGAGGCTCTTTTAATTAGATGTTCTGTCTTCTTTAAGGCTTCACCAACCATGTCCTCTAGGGTTGAAGGAGAATTGTGACACCTGCTGGATGTTTGATAAAGGTTTTCTGATGAGTTGTTTGGGGCGTTTGGCTGCATGTGGTCTGAAAGCATGAATTTATAGTTTCAGACACTGATCAAATCAGTCTCCATACTTCTGAGTCACTGTAAGGTTGAAGCTCCTCACATGTCTAAATTAATTTTCTTGTAATACTCTGTTGATCTTAAATTTGATAAAAAGAAAGGAGACCCTTGAAATAATGGGGTGGGGAGAGCAAATAAAACACAAATAAAACTAAAACAATTACGATTGCAAAACTATTCTGGCAAAACGTTTGTCTATTAAAAAAAGATGATCCCCAGATGAGCAATCTTTTTTTGTTTCCTTCAGTGAGAGAGAAGTCTTTGTTTCCTCTGAGAGTGGAGAAGGAAGCAAAGAGGCTGATTGAAAAATAAGTTCATTTCCAGTCCTGGTCGATGGAAGACAGCCTCATCAAATGTCAAGGGAAATTAAAATACGCGGGCTGCAGCCCCCCTGACCTCTGCTGATTTATTTCTTTACAGTCCTCGTTTCATTTCAGGGCTGAAGGCCTGAATCATCCGGAGAAAGAGAAAGACTTCTCAATTAACTAATTATGTGTGAGCGGGGATCAGCTGCTAATATGAGAGGAAAAGTCAGGATGATGCTGGTGATCATCGACTGATGATATGCTGCTGTAGTCATCATGATAAATAATAAATAATAAATAATAAAATAACAGAAACTCAGGAAGCAAAATGGCTTCAAATACAGATTTTTTTTCTTGATTCCTTATGAAAACTTTTTTTTTCCTTCTTCTTTAGGATAACACACACACACACCTGTATTCTGTCCTCTGGCAGCTCGGTCTTCATGGACAGCATCTCTCTGGTGTAAACATCTGGATAGTGAGCTTCATTGAAAGCTTTCTCCAGTTCCTCCAGCTGATAGGACGTGAAAATGGTTCTTCAGATGAAATCACACCAAAAATAGAAAGAATGAATGTGAGTTATTATTTATTTATTGTGTATTAAAACACCATACTAATTAAATTAATAAGCTTTTCTTAAAATGACATAATTTTGCTCCTGATTCTCTTTTATTTTTTTCTGTAAATCCAATAACAAAGATCTAACAATGTTCTTGTTTCAAAAATTACATTTGGACACTTTACCATCAGAAAATTGACCATCATAAAGTCCATCATTTGTAATAATAATAATAATAATAATAATAATAATAATAATAATAATAATAATAATTACCTGTGTCGTCTTTTCTTTCTTTTCTTGCTCATTGATGAGAACTTTGGATCTCCGGAGGAGCTCAGATCATCAGAGTCTGTCAGAAAACAAACCTTCATTTAGCTGCCTGTCCAATAAAGTTAAAGTAAAATAAAATACAACGTTGATTTTCTTTATTTGGATTGAAGAGCCTTTTCTATTCTTTAAATTTTGTTTTTGTCATTTTGTCATTTTGTCATTTTTATAAATAGTTGTTTTTTTACATCATTCGTTTCAGATTTTCATCTGTAGAATATATAAAAATTTGAATTTAATACAACACACTGAATATTGTTTTTAACTTAATTAATTTATTCGTTTGCAATTTTAGAGTTCTTAAGCATGAACTATTATTATTATTTGACCTTTAAAACATTTCCTTGTAAAACAGTAAACGTGTTTTCTGTTTTCCTTCTTATTAAAATAATTGAGCAGAGAATGTGAACAACTCTCTGATGGAGATTTCAGATGAGCTTTAAGTTTTATTTTACTGATCTGATGAGATGTCAGAGCCTCACCGGAGCTGGCCCCGGACTGTTGCGCCTCCACGCGCGGCTCCCTGTGCGCCGCTCTGTGCAGCGGCTGCAGGTGCGCACTGTGCGCCTCCGACAGAACCTCCAGAAAAGCGGGCTGACCGTAAAACGGGTGGAACCCATCCGGACTCAGTAAACCCATCCCGTGTCCGAGGGCCGCCCTGGCCGTGAGGATGTGCGCTCTGGGCGGCAGGGCCTCCAGGGGCCTCCTCGGAGGGGCCGCCGGCGGCTCCTTGTTGAGGCCGAGCAGTTCCTGGATCCCAAAGCCGGTTCGGCGCTGCGCCGCGGGCCCAGTCTTCCAGAGCGGGGCCTTCCCGCTGCTTTGCGCTGTTTTCTGCTCGTTCTCATTGTCTGAAAACACAAGTTCCTCTTTCCCCGTCATGATGGTGAGATGAGTGTCCGCGCGCACACAGCAGCGCGATGATGTCTCGTTATCTCAGCTGCGCTTTTTAATCTCGCAGGCAAGAGGCGGGACTAAATGAGAGAGACTGCAGGTTCCTGCAACTCAACTGACAACAAGGTTCCTGCAGCTGCTACAGCTGACAACAAGGTTCCTACAGCTGCTGACAACAAGGTTCCTGCAGCTGCTACAGCTGACAACAAGGTTCCTGCAGCTC